ATCTCTCATCTGATCATCGCACATGTGCTCTTATGCCACTACTAGTAATACAAGAAATTGAGTGGGTCAGGCTTGGGAACCTAGTGAGCACATAGGGTTTTCAACCCACAATAATTAAATTCTTTATTATCATCAAATCATTCAACCCGTTACCTGTTCTTGTTATCCTCACTTTCTGTCCCTAAAGCATCTAATTTAAGGGACCTAGCCTAAGGATTATCTTCGAGATTGAAAATAATGCTTAGGGGATTCCTCAACAATATATGTTAGTAAGGCAACCATGAGGGGGATGGTGTACACTTGGTGAACATGTCGTTCAAAAACACCTACAGGTTGTGAGTCTGCCAGCGTTCCAGTAGACTGTCTAGAATAGTCTGTGGTCGTCATCTCTAGATGACTGAATCAGCTTTAAAGTCAAGGCTTCTCATCATTTATTTCATCTTTCATCATCTATGTCATCTTTCATCTACCCATCTTTACCCAACATATTTATAGGTATAAAATACATATACAGTTTAAATTAAGTAAAACATGTATAAATCATTCATCCAACACAGATATCAAGAACACAAATAATATAGGAACATATAGCACGTAATTTATATTAAATACTTCATATCTATGTGTAAGATGAAAGTAACTATGCACTCACTTTTTAAAGTGACGATTTGTAATTCGGACAACGCTTCGCTTCTAGTAACTGTCTTTTATGTTAACGTAACCTAGTATCATTATCACTAAGTTTTAGTCTAATATTTATTGCAACTAATTATTAGTCTAGATTCATCATTAATTCAAATTCTACTTCTTGATCTATTAAGTAAGGATCAGCCAGGTAGGACAGTTGGGAGGCAGGACCATTTGGGCCTTTCTGAAATCCAACAACCAAGCCAACGTGACCGTTCTAAACACCTCTCCCGTAAGTAGATCAATCAGTATAACGAATTGGAATCACTGATAACTCTTGTTTCTAGTTTCATAATAACGATAATGAATTTAAACATAAGTTACACTTAAAGTGTAATAGGGGTAGCTCAACCTACAGGGTTTCTAGCGAAAACTTAGAACTCCGTGGTCAGAACTTCATCACTGAATCCTTTTTCTAAAAAGATTCTTGTAGTGCTTCAACGCTCACCTTACTATACGAAAACTATAGAAAGAGAAGTCGAATCACGAGGGACCGAAATGCTCGGGGATAAGAAGAGAAAAACTCTTGAATCAAGAAATGGTGCAAGAAATATGAGAGCCTAGAGCTTCTTATTTATAGTAATTGAATTTTCAAAAACTATCATTTATAGTTACTTAAATATCCTTATAGTTATTTAAACGACTAAACACCTCTTTATAATACTATTTTAAATAGATTTAACGATATTTGTACTAAACTAATGTCGAAAGCACTCAATACTAGTATTATAATGACCGCATCGTCGATACCTTTCTAATGATATATACATATGTATATGTGTGTGTGTGTATATATATATATATATATATATATATATATATATATATATATATATATGTATGTATATACGTATATGTAATTTATACTTTATTTTAATACGTAAATATGCTATTATAAATCATAACTCGTTCATACGAACTCCGTTTTTGACGTTATTTATATCCACCCGTAGCTATCGACAAGATCTACAACTTCCGTTTAGACTCCGTCGGCTAATTTTCACTTTATTTTTCGTCCATATTCTTATAAAATTAAATGATTTTGCTAAAATCATAACACTCTCGTACGGACTCCATTTTTTGACATTCTTTTTCTTAAAATTCTTATTTTAAAGAGTACTACAATTTTCTTTTTGGTGGCTTTAGCTAAAATTCAATCATTCTCTTACTAGCTTTTTACGTCATACATTTATTGTGCGCGGCTCACTTTTATATCTAATAAAAATCATATCTAATTCATACAGAGTCGGATTTCTACGAAATTTATATTTCGTGATCGGGACGACATGTACTTTCTAAATATATAATAATATATATGTTTTGTCAAACTTATTTTTACGATTTACGGGCGATTCGGCTGATTTTTTCTATTTTATTATATTATAGAAATCATGAAACACATAATATTCACATAATTCTTATTTATTACATCAAATAGGTTACAATTGTTGACCCTAACTATTACATCATCTTATTAATGCTTACTGAGAAATACGGACGTTACAGCGGGAGATGCAATCCCCGTCCCGTTTGCCCCCGTTGACATCTCTACCTTGAACTCTAATTAAGGCAACATACAATTGCCCATGCAAAATAACAGGATCTTTAAGATACAGACCAACCTAAGGTAACGAAGGCCCTTGGCTCTTATTTAATGTCATTGCCAAACATTCATAAACTACATGTGACAACCGTTAATTTTGGTCAAACAAAGTCAACAAAAGTCAACCAGGTCAACTCAACTCGTATTCGAATTTTAGGAGGAATGAGATATTCCCTAATGTTTCTAATGTACTATTAACAAGTTATAATACAAAGCACCTCTCTTGTTTCCATATATTAAATATAAACCCTAATCAGTAACATAAAAATTCGATAATTCAATTATATATTATTTAGGTATAAATAATATTCATAACACAATGTAGTTGAGTTCATAAACTTTATGCTATATGGAAAATTCATAACAAGGGTTACATATTCAGATTTTTGGTGAATTCGTCACCAAATGCGACAAATTCTTTACCAAGCTTAAACACTCAAACTTTAAGGAAAAGAATTAAGAATCATCCTAACTTTCATGTAAGGTGTTATTATTTTTTGATGATAATGATTTTTATAAAGATTTGAATTTATATGATTCAAACTAAGTAATTATACATCATTTTTACCATACTTTTTATAAAAATCACAAACTCTTATAAAAATTACCCAATTTATATACAAATACACTACAAAGACAACATTTGTCTTATATGGTGATTACACCTTTAATAAAGAATTGTTATTTTAATAAAAAAAATCAACTTGAATTTTTTATTCAAAAAGCCACACCCTACCCCCTATACCCACCCCACCTCACCCCCCCCCCTCACCCCTCCCTCTCTTCCTTAAACTCGGCCGAACCCTCCCCCCCCCTATTCATTCTATTTTCTTCATTTCTTCATCTTCTTCAAGAACAAGTCATTTCTCTCAAGATTAATATCCATAAGTTGGTTCTTGATCTTTTGGTAAGTTTTTCCTTACTAATCTAGTGATTCTATACAAATATATACTAGTTTTGTTATTGTTACACACATTAATATGTGTTAATATCCATAGGATATTTCGAACTTCAAATGTTCTTCAAGTGTTCTTCGAGTGTTCTTATCTTGAAACCTTCATCTTCACCTCTTTATCCACCAAGAAACACACTCAAAGTGAGTTCATACCCCTCATTTTCATTTTTATCCAACTTTTAGGGGGGGGGGGGGGGGAATACAAGTAAACTTGTATAATTATACAAGTTGTTATACATGCTTTATCTTCATGTTGTGTAAAAATGTTATCTATATGAAATAATGTTATTACCTAGTATTATGAACATTTATGTGTGGTATGTTGTTTAAACTGCAAATCTATGAAAAATGAGTATAAATATGCTATATGTTCTTAAGAAAAGTCATATAAACAAAGGTAACTAGCGTTTTTATGAACATAATATGACTTTTCTAGCAAAAAAATGGTTTTTAACCAAGTTATTCTCCCATTTTTGTGGGATATAAACCAAAATATATTATTTTGGACATATGTTATGAAACTAGTTATAAAGACCAAGGATTTGGTTTTACAAAAAGAAAACCCAAAAATCCACCATTTTTATGTAAAAATTAGGGTTTTCTAGTAAAAATGGTCATAACCCGGTTATGGTACCATTTTTGTGAGTTTTAACCTAAAATATGTTGTTTTAAACATATAAGGTTAGCTTGACATAAACTTCACAAAAAGGTAAAAATAATTTTTACAAAGTTTATAATTCAATATTTACCGTTTGGTGATGTAAAAAGGCCAAAAACTAGAAAACTGGCCTTATCATACTAAAAGTTCATATACTCGTGTTAGATGTATAATATATGTTATTTATGAAACATTTATAACATTTTGGGTACAACGAAACATTTATAATAAACTATAATAGGTATAGTTTATGGGTCATTAACACTATTATAACGTTTTGGGACAAGACGAATAATTATATAAAAGTATATAATTATTATACGCTACATTAATACTATGGAAAAGTGATATTTACACTTACAAAGGGTTTTCATTACACAAAACGTAAACTTGTTGAAATAATTATGTGAGACAAAGTCTTCACCGTACCTACAAGAGTACACATTAAAATTCCTAAATTATAACCAGAATCTCGGTAAGAGAGTGTGATACTTGTGTATAGATCTGTACAGGACTGACAATCTCGCACATAAGCTGCTAGCTACAGCTAGAAAGGGAAGGTTGATCCGAGAAGATGGACACAAAAAGAAGAAGTTGAGTTAGCAAGGGCATGGGTCGACATATCTGAAGATGGTGGCACGGGAAAGGGTCAAAATCGTGATCAGTTTTGGTTACGTATCACGGAGCTCTTTTGTAGGGGAATGGGTCGAAGTCCAGATTATCGGACCTCCGACCATTGTAACTCCAAATAGAATCTTATGAACAAAGTCGTCACACATTGGAATGGAATTTACACAAACTTTGAGAAACAATGGGCTAGCAGAGAAAGTGAAACGAGTTTGTTGAAAAAAAAAACACACGCTACATTCCAAGATGATATGCAAAAGTCTTTTAAGTTTATTCATGTGTGGGAAGTAGTCAAAAGAAGAATTAGGTGGAAGGAACTTGCAACACATGAAGAAATTGCAAATCTGCCAAAAAGAAGTCGGACATCTTAATATTCGAGCTCGCAACAAGTCTTATCGGATGGTCACGTAGGCGTTAATCTTAACAATGATGACGACGACATTGAAGAAATACACCCGCCTCCTCGTCTAATGGGAAGGGACAAAACAAAATCTCGAGCAAAAGGAAAAGGGAAAGCGACTTCTTCAAATTCTTCAGTCGGAACCGAGCGGTCAGCCAGATCGGAAGAAATGATGACCCAAATGGCACAATTGAATTCAACTATGGAGAGGCATATGGTTGAAACCATCCGATTCACCGAGTATATGTTGTTAATGCAAGATGTGAGGCATCTCGACCCCGAAGATCAAGAAGAGGCAAGAATTATGAAAGCATCGATTCGGGAAAAATATAATCTGAAACGCAACTGAAAATTCGATGTTTTTTTTTCTAGGTTTTTAAATTTTAACGTCATGTTTTATTTTTAATTTTTAGGTTTTCAAGGTAATTTTAATTTTCATGTTTTTTTTTAGTTTTTAGGATTTTTAAATTGTAATTTTTAAGTTTATGTTATTTTAAATTTTAGTATGGTTCTAAAATAATTTAATCTTTTTCTAAAATGAAACTAAAAAAACAAACTCATAGGCATGACACCACACTTCGTAGGTAAAAAAATGTGAAAATTGTAAAAGTCTATGTGGCGCCTATGTGGCGTCCTTTTACCATTGGTAAAAAAAGCATGACATGCTTTAGCCTTAAAAATAATTTTTTTAAAGCAAAATGTTGATGCTTACCAGCTGTTAATTGCCATGGCGATATCATGAAGAAAAAAGAAGAGTTAAAGAGCATATGTTGTCTCCTCTGTGCTTCTCTCTATTGAAACCAAATTGAGTGCGCCATAAGAATTGAAATCCTGAAGGAAATTTTAAATCTTCGAGGAAAAGCTTCACACCTACAGTAGACATGGATGAGGATGATGATGATCAGACTTAGAGTTGAGAAGATGAGATTGTTGATGGAGAAGAAGAGGAAGATGATGACATAGAAAACTCAGATCCAAAACATCTAGGGTTGTATGTGCACCATAAGGTTGTTATAGTGCTCAAAACCCAACAAAAGTAATACTTGTTGCATGAGCTATCTTTGATGTTCTTATTTTTTTATGTGGAATGTATATGCATGATATTTTTGGGCTAGACGGCTGAATACCGAGCTGACTGACCGAAGGCCATTATGTCAAGTTAGGGGGACAAGGCGGAAACGCCAAGTCTGTGGATTCGACGGCTGAATACCGAGTCCTTATTTGGGAGTTGTTTAGGATGTGTTCCTAAATAGGCACGAGTTACATGATCTTGATGTTTATACTATATGAATATTTGTATATTTGATGATGGCATGATAAGTAGGAGTACGGTGAAATGCTTTTATTGTTATGCTGTGTTGGAATTCACTAAGCTTCGTGCTTCCCCTTTCCTTTATAAAATGATTATTACAGGTACATCAGGTATGAATAAGGGTAAGGCCAAAGCTTGATTGTACACAAGCGTGATTCAAAGATTAGTTCCTTGTCACAAACACTTGATATGAGATTTTTCTCACTAGTATTTCCGCTGTTGATTTGGAATTATGAATGGATTGGTATTGTTGAGAGTATGATTTGAAATATTAACTGAATACTTGAAACTTAACGGTTTTGGTTAATTAATGGATTTAATGGTTTTTATTATAAATATAAATGTTTTTAAAAGTTTAAATTTATTGAAAATTTTGGGACGTTACAAATTGGTATCAGAGCACAGCTTGAGCGAATCAGACACATCTCGGTGTGTTTGAATGATGAAGGATAAGGGCAATATTGTCTTTTTATGCCTGTGAGGGACCTAATGCGCAATTAAAATACATTTTGGGGACTGTCTGAGTTAAAAAATAAGTTAGGGACCAGACATGAAAATTAACCCAAACCATAAGGACCATTCGTGTAATTTACTCTTAATTGAATAAAGACAAAATTACAAAAATGGTGTAACGCCCGCAGATTCGGACTAGTCAATTTAGAGACAATAAGCGTCAAAAATGACTTTTTGATAGAAGATTACTTAGAATAAATAATCCTAACCAAGTTATAGTGTATGTCATAAGGAATCCGTACATATAAAGAACGTTGAAATCCGACTTATAACGAATAAGTTATGACTCGTCGAAGTTTTACGGTTAAACCGACACGACACCGTGTAACTTAAAAAGTGAATTTTTGATAAATTACTTTTTAGCCTTAGCGATTTAAACGAAAGTTGTGGTATACGTTAAACCGAGAGCGTGCGTAAAAAGAACGCCCAAATCTGACTTCGTATGAGGAAGTTATGATTTTCTAAGATTTAGCATAGTAGTGCACAGCCTGAAATTCAAATTTTAGATCGATCGATTTTTAGCTGACACAATCTAGACGATAATTGAAGATCTCGTTAATAGGAGCTCAACGATAAAAAGACAGTCGAAAATGGAGTTCGTATGTAAAAGTTTTGAATTTTACACGGTCGTTAACAATGTAATCTTCTTATACTGTTAAATTTAAAATCAGTCGAGAATTAGCCGACGGAGTCTAAACGAAAGTTGTAGAGTACGTCGTCACCTATGGATATAAAGAACGTCGAAAAAGGGGCTTGTATATGAAAGTTATAGAATTTAGAAGTCAGAAGGGTGATGCTGCGAAGGGTGTGACGTGGCCAAATCCTGGCACTTGCTTTCTCCCCACACCATGCCACCAGCTGGTGACACTTAGCACTCAACTCGATGAGTTGGAGGCTCAGAACTCGCCGAGTTGACCCATTTTTCAGCCTATAAATACCATGCGAGGCTCACTCATTTTCCTCACACCTTAACCCTTATCTCTCTCTAACTTCTCTCTAAACCTCTCCCAAGCCCTAGTACTTCCCAAGTGCTAAGAGGCAAGTCCCGGAGCGACCGAAGGCTCCGAGAAGAAGAGCTTTTCAGCTTGGAAGTTTTGCCCCCGCAGAGCTCGGTTCCTAGCCAAACCCCCGGTAAGTGAGATATGCCTACCCTACTTTAAGAATAGCTTATGTTTAAATTTATTATCGTTTTTAGGAGCTTATAAACAATATATATTATAAAATATGATATAAAAAGTGTTATTATAATATCTATTAACTACTCACGGTACGGGGAATCCAGTTTAAAGGGTCGTCTGGGTTGTTGGATTTCAGAAGTGCTATAATGCCAAAATGGTCATGCCTTCCAGTGTCTGGCCCTGTCTGTACATAGTGGTTGAAATGTATTGTTTAACACTTATAAAACAATATCGCTGCAAATAGTCGCGATAAATATTACACTAAAATCTAGTGGTAATGATAATAGGTTTCATCGAAGAAAATTATAATTGATAGAAGCGAAGCGCTGCCCGGGTTTGGAATCATCACCTTAACAAGTGAGTGCATAGTTACTTTCATCTTACACATAGATATGAAGTATTTAATATAAATTATGTGCTATATGTGCATATTATATGTGTTCTTGATATCTATATTGGATGAACCGAATATACATGTTTTATTTGATGTAAACTATATATGTATTTTATACCATTAAAAATATTGTGTAAAAATGGGTAGATGAATGATGAGGGATGAAAAATGATATAGATGAACATTGACAGCTATGGACTTAGTGCCCTATAGATGAACATTGGCAGCTGCGCCATAACCTGTAGATGTTTTTTAACTACGATGTACTCTAAACATCCTAGCAGCTGCGCCTAAAGGATAATATCGACAGCTGCGCCTAATAGAGAACGTCATAATCCTGGCAGCTGCTCCTAAATGATAATATTGACAGTTGTGCCTAATAGATAACATTGGCAGTAGTGCCATTGGCAATTACAGACTTCGTGCCTATTCCTTAGGAGAATCCTTAGGAATGAATGAGTGAATGATAGATACTTCTTAGGGTAGATCCTTAAGAAATAAAGAAGATAATAAGGATGAGTAACTGAGTTAATTGTTTGATGATGAAACATAATAACTTTATTATTGCGGCTTGAAAACCCTATGTATTCACCTGGTTTCCCAACCTGACCCGCTCAGCTTATTCATATCACAAGTGTCGATATGAAGCTACATTTCACTGAGAGATTAAAGGAAATGTAAATCACTAGTGTAAATGAATGTAAGATCTATTTATGCTTATGTTTCTGTATTGACAATGACATCCCAAATTTTTAATATAAACAAAATACATTTCTTCGGAAATGCTTTGATAATATATTTATCATGTTTTTTGGGAACAAATTACGCAATATTATTCTTTAAAATTGAATACTCTGATTTTCAAATAAGCATAAATAAAAATTTTAAAATGACCATGAATTTGGGGATGTCACAAATGGTCAATATGGTTTACCAAAGGTCACAAACTCAGTCCCTGCTAATTTTTTTATGGAAATGGTCCCACGGGTTTGCAAAAGTTGCACGAATGGCCCTTTTTAGTAACTCCTCAATATTCGCCCGTTAGGCCATATCACGTGGGAGTATTTTGGTATTTTCAAGTGTAACAGGGACTAAATTCATAACATTTGATAAACCATAGGGACTATTTCTTTCCATCTTCATTTTAACCATACGATTTACAATGTACAATTAAGATGAAATACGTATTTTAAAAAAGATATATAACCGAATAGGTTTTTTATTTTTTTTTAAATACATATAACCGAAAAATGGTTTTTTGAAAACCGATTGGACCAAACCGAAAACATATTCGGCCGATTTTGCCTTCCAATATAACGTAATAACATATTATACGAAAATGTATTTTTTTAAAGACATAAAAAAATTATTTTACGTAAAATAAATACGATAAAATACATTTTGTTTTATTTAAAAAAATTATGTAAAAAATGTTTTTGGTAATTTATTTATTGTTTACGTTTTATCGATTTTGTTATCATATAAATTAATTTTAAGAAGAAATAAACCAAGTGAGCATTCAACTCAATTGGTTATCCCCCCTTTCTTCAGCCATTTATTTGTCTTTTAAAATAAACTTCAAAAATAGTTATTGTGGTTTACCAAATGTTACGAATTCAGTCCCTGTTACACTTGAAAAGACCAAAATACCCCCACGTGGGAGGCACGTGATATGGCCTAACGACCGAATATTGACGGGGTTACTAAAAAGGGTTATCCATGCAACTTTTGCAAACCACAGGGACTATTTGCATCAAAAATATTAACAGGAACTGAGTTTGTAACCTTTGGTAAACTATAGAGACCATTTTTGTAATTTTGTCTTGAATAAATAATTTATTAGTTAAAGGCTTTATTAATTTAAAATTAATAAAATTAGGTTTTGGTCTTTTATTTTGTTGATAAAGAAGGTTCTAAGAAAACTCAAAATGTTTTATGAAATAAAATGAGTT